TATATATATATATATATATATATATATATATATATATATATATATATTTACCATTCTAATTCTTGGATCTCCAATAATATTCTTCCTTTTTTTTCCACAACCAGAAATTCATAAACACTTACCAATTTTTTTTAAAATAACCATTTCTTTAGCAATAGTACAGAAGAAATGAAAATATTATTGATACTCATATGTTAAAGCAAATGTATATATAATAAAATACATCTGAATTCACATATGGTCACAGAGATATACTTGATATCTGTGAGGGAAAGTGGGCACATTTGTATAGGCACCTGTCAGGGAAGAAAGGGAAGAAAGCCCATATGCTTATGATAATTTACATCTCTGGAATGTAGGCTTTGGTGTCACTGGCCCATTCAGGAATATCTGCATAAGAAACCACAGTCTCTTCTTCCTTCTTGTCTTTTGGTCCCCTTCAATTGAGGGAATCTTCTCTTTTACTCTAACACTTGCAAGCTCCTTCAATTTAGAATATTCTTAAATGAATGTTTAGAAAGTGTTTCCTCTGGAGCAGTTCCCTTTAAATAAGAGAACTGGAAATTTTTATCAAACTGACTATCTTCGAGTTATACATACAGTCTAATACAGCCAGTCATTTACTCATCCAGAGAATCTACTATGCTCCATTCAGAACAGAACTCCTAGGAACACAGCTCTTATTGACTCTTTAAGTCAGGCAAGGAAATTCAGCCAGCTCACCAGGATACAAAGCAACTGCAAAGCTCTCTGTTTTTCCTTTTCAAAACAGAGGTGGAAATACAGGGCAAAAGGCATTTATGAGCAACTTCTCTTCTCTCCAACTGTAGGTGGTACAATAGCTGTCACTGAGGCTTTTGGTCAATGGCTGGGTTATTACTCTGGTCAGTTTAATGGAAATGGTCCCAAGAGTCAGAGAAATAGAAGAGGGAAGACTTTACTGAGAACCACTATGCTCAAAACTTGGCAGAGGTCCACAGAATAAGCAGATATTCACTCATGTTCTAGATCGACAAGTGAGCCAGATACACTAGAACAAATCAGAAATGCCAATAGTTCCAGATACTGCTGGCAGCAGTTGTTGCTTTCTACTAACCCTCTAAATACAGAAAATCCACAATGAAACGAACTGCAGAGATGAAAAATCTCCTTAAGTGTCAATACTTTATCATAACAAAACTTGAAACAGCTCTTAACCATTATGTGCAAGGACTTTATACTACTTTCTGTCAATAGTATGCTTAGTTCCAAGTAATACAATACGGAAAAGGTTAAGAACAACAGCATTAGACAAACATGTCAATATGTAGCTGTTATGTGCAATAGAAAACCTGAAAACCCAATTAAAAGCAACAAAAAGTGGCTTGAAAGGAGAGATACAGAAATCAAGATTATATTAGAAATTCTGGATTTCTTTAATCACTAATTGAGAACAAAAGCCATAATTCAAATTGATAACAATAAGTCAAATCAGTACAAAAAAATAAATAGTTCAGTATCAATCAAAAACTTACTACAAGGGCTTAAGAAAAGAAACCAGAAGGGAGGGAGAACACTCAAAGAAGGAAAATGAGGAAAATATCTGGTCATCTCTATGGCCACAAGAAGTATAAAACAATGCAAACATCAGCTGATTCAATTGTGGAACAGATAGTTATACACCCTTAATTTAATAAACTACAAAATAGTTAAGGGAGGTGACTGAAGCTAACTTTTCTCAAAACTGGAAAGTCGCAGAGCTGGTAAGAGCCATATTTTATCACTCATATGCTTTAACATATCCCATGAATCCAAAATAATTTAACCAGATTTCTCTCCAGTTCAAGCCTGATGCCAACTTTCTTAACAGAATGTATCATTTACTTACTAAAAAATATGAGAACACCAATAACCCCAAATATCAGCCAATTACATACTTTTGCACTTCATACCACATTCACAGTTTATATCACTAAAATAAAAATCTATAAAGACGAGGAATATATATATATATATATATATATATATATATATATATATATATGTTTACCATGGAGCAAAAATAATGTGCCAAAGTGACCCAGTTGTATAAATAAACCATGAGTTCAAAACTGAGTCAAAGTCTTTAAGATAATCAATAAAGGCAGTAAAAATGTTACTGCATCTTGTTCAATAATTACCAAAATGATAATGATGTGCTATTTATGCCACTGGGGCATTTTAGTACATTTGGAATGTAGAAAGTGTTTAGCCCAGTTCCTGGCACATAGTAGGTGTTACATAAATGTTTATTCCCTTCCTCCTTCCCCTAATAGAATGGAGTTGTTGTGAAGACAGAATGAGATAATATTTATAAAGTACTTAGTACAGTATCCTTCACTTAGTAGGCGCTTAATAAATTATTGCCTACCCCTTCCATATGTATCAGGAGCTTAGCAAATGCTTGCTAACTGAATTGTATCCAGCTATTGTAGAAGGCATAGCATTCCCATTAATCATGCAACATTATTCTTTGTTTCCGTTGTAGTGGTAAGTGTACCCACATCTCAGAATGCTAGAATTCTTAATGAAAAGCAATGCATTTTCCCTGTCCACAGGAAACATATCGTTTTATTGTTCTATGATCTTTATTAATAGCTTACGCAAAGTTTACTAGGTGCTGATCTCCCAACATCTCCATGAGTCTGGCAGGACAAATATTACCACCATTTTATTGAAGTTGAGAAGTTAAGTAAGAGAGTTAATGAATAGTAGGGCAAGATACAGACACCAGCCAAGTGTTTCTGACTCCAAAGGGCACTAAAACAAACTGCCTCATTTAGAGGGGCAGAGAATACTTCTGATGTGTGAATTCCAGGGCTGGAGTAAGCTTCACAATAAAGAGGTTTCTGGGACATGTTAAAAGAAGCTTGAAGTACAGCCTGGAGAAGAATATTTGTAAAACAATATGTTGGGAACTTGGAATAAGAAGATAAAATAATACATAGCCCTTACCCTCAACAAGCTTATTTTCTCCTGGAAAATAGACTATAG